GCACTATTATGGGATAGCATTAGGCACACACCATTGTTATATTTGTTCATGGTATTGGTTGTGCATGTGATTTTCCTGTGATCCTTATTTATTAAGTTATGTGTTGTTTTGTAATTTTTTCAATATGGACGAAGATGGTGAGGGACCAGATGTATTTTTGCATTCTAAAATTTGACAAACATATGTATTTGACTGAGGGACTGATAGTGAGTCTTGTAATGCATTGAATTCATTCCAAGCAAGGTCAGAAGGTATGGTTTCAGGTCCTAAATTTGTTAAACATGTAACATATTGTTCGAGATTGTGAAGCAGTGCACAATTGGGTAGTCACAAATTATAACTTGTATGTATCAGTTGGGTAGTCACCCTTGTTTCCTAGTGTTGGCTAATTTTCCATGAATATGCACACTACAGATTTTTTGGCAAATGTTTAAATGAAGTGGATGGATGGTAGCTATGATACTGACATTTTTTGTTGTGAATGTTACTGATTTTTTTTATGATGTAAATCTCACAGTACAGGGTTTAGGGATAAGTAGTTGTAGAGAAGTCAGTCACATATGTGTAAGGTGTTGAACTTTATTTTGTGTAAGCAGTGGTGTATTGTCTCCTATATGGTTGCATTTTGGACTTGTTAAACACATCACCTATTATTTATGTAAATCTATATATACTATCAGTTACAGGTATTTGTCCATTTATAACTGTTCAATTTCCCATGTCTGTCAAATTGTGACTGCATGCATTCAAATTTGCTTGCTACTATTGATGCACTCCAAAAGACTTGCAGGTGCTTGAAGTTGGAGTTGTACTTACTTGCTTGCTGTCCTAATCATGAAAATGTTGAAGACAATGTGGTTTCATATTGGGTCATGAGTTAGATTCCCTGTTTTCTCTTTCAGAATAATCTCCCTCTAACTCCCTTGGTGACTCAGCTTTTGTGATTGATTCGGTACATTTCTTTCAACTTTGTATCCATTTTTCCACAAGCCTTGGTGACTTAGCTGACCACATATTCTTAATCTTTGGTGCTGGAGAGGTAAGTCTATATAATCATTTTTTGTTTCATATATATAAAATGATAAATGGAAATTCATTAGAACATGCAGTTTGTCATACAGGACACCATACAATTGTCACCAGGTTCCTCTCCAGCATTTAGTCAAAGCCGTAACTCATATTCAACTTATAACCCTGGGTCAACATCCATACTTGGTGATTCATATGAACATAATCAGAGTTTATCCACTATATGTGTACCAGTTTCTTCTGATATATTAATTGGGGACAATGGAATGGGTCATTTGGTCTGTCATACAGAATCAGGAACCTCAACTGAACTCAAGATTACCAATGCACTAGTGGTCGATTGGAGGAGTGTAAGAACCCGCACCGTTAATTAAGGTATTTAATTAATAAATTACGAGAAAATAGGAAATGATTCCATAATTGACCCTAATAATTATTTATGAGGCTTAATAATCGTAATAAGTGATTAAGAATACTGAAAGTCGCTTTTCGGAAGAAAAGTGCAGATACCGGTTCTGCTAGTCGGTATAAATGCGTACCGAGAAAGTATCTCGGAAAATTATAATAAGTGCATGTTAATTACTAGAATAATATGTAGGACTTGTAAAATGAGTTTCAAGTCCAGATAATGAGAACTGGTGTTGGAAACCGGTACTGGCTTGGAAAAGCGCGTACCGGAAAGATGCTCAGAAAATTATAAGAAAAATATGATAAATCTTAGAAAATTATGTAGTTTCATATTCCAAAGTTTGGGATTAAAATGCTAAGCGTAGCAATTAAAGTTAATATTGTATGTTTTATGGCTAAGTGGCTACATATATTCATTTTAGCACATAACCCTAGGCATACCAGAATCCCTACGTGAAGCACTTGGTGGGCTGAGGGTGGTTTACTGTTCCATTGCCTCCTTTCACCATTTTTGAACTCAAGTTGTCACCTTTACTTGATTTCTTCCCTCTTTGAGCTTGTATACACTTAAGAACATGCATGGTGAGGAAGTGTGAGGGTGTATTCTGAGTTTCCATCCTCTGTGTGTGGGTAAGGGTGCTGGTTTTGGGTGGTTTGGGTGTTGAAAGCCATAGTCATGGCATTTTGAGGTCCAAGTGGTGACCTTTGGTGAGAAGAACCAACCTTTGTGAAGCCATTTTCGTGCATCTTCCTTGAGTCAGACTTGAGGGGCTGTGTTGAGCTCCAAGAGCATCTCCTTTAAGCCTTTGGTATGTATACCAACCTTTGATCTTGAGTTTAATGCTTAAAAATGAAAGCTTGATGCATGTTAAGGCTTAAAGATGATAACTTGTTGTTGAGTAATGTTGAACACACCTAGAAATGCATGTTTAGGTGCTTTAAATCGGTAAAAACCCAACCTTGGAAGGATATCTTCACGAAATGCACTTTCTGCATTCTGTCGTGAAATATCCGGATATGTGCCCGATGAATATCCGGATATGTGATATCCAGATATGGGTTTTGAGTATCCGGATAATAGATATCCGGATATTGCATATCCGGATATGTCCAGTGAGATATCCGGATATTGCATATCCGGATATGGTCCCGAGGAATATCCGGATATTCTGGGATTTCGTAGAACAGTAGCTGTGCTTGTGTACAGTAGGCTATTGGGGGTTTGTGGACCCTAGATTGATGAAGTTGAACTTCTGTAATTAATGAACTAAGTCAGAATCAAGTGATTAAGGACTTATGGCTTGGTATGGAGCCTTAAGATGTTAAACGTAAGGAGAGGCGTTGTCTTTAAGTTATATGCTTGTGTTGCATTATTATTGATATAGTATTGGTCCATAACAGATTGTGAATCTGCTGTGTTCGGACTTTGAGCTGTGGACTCTTGGCTTTTGGAGTTAGCTTGCAAGGTAAGCTTTCGTGTCCTCAGTTTAGCCATGTTGTGGTTCCACCATGTCCCATGGGGATATGGTTTATGCATGCTGTGTACATGCTTTTGGATATTTGATATGTTGATTGAACTTTACATGTAATGGCTTTTAATATGCATGTGTTGTTTCATCTTGACGGGAAGCCTGAGTATGTAGCGCCATACAAGACGGTGTACCGGGGTGAATGCAAGTGGTACTTGCACGGTGTGTAGGTGATAGACGTATACCTGCACTGTCTCTGGCCAGTAGATTAGTATTGACACACATGGCATGATTATCTGCTGCATTGCATTGTTTTTGAAATGATAAATGATAAACTGCTTTTGAACTTATATTGCACATGTAAGTGAGCTTGGGGTGAAAGATCCTTGAGGACTCACTGACTTACTGAGATTTCTAGATTAGAGATCTTACCCCACGTTTGGGGAATGCTTATTTCAGGATCAGGTAGTATGGGTACTGATGCCTCAGGCGGTAGGAGGCCGGAGCTTAGCTGATTATGTTGTTTCTGCTTATATGTTAGCATGACTGGATTTGGATGTTGTTTATGTTTTCCGCTATTTATGATACGTTGTTGTTGAGACTGATGTTGGGCATGTTGCCTTATTTGAGTGAGCATGGGGATTGTTCATGACACTTTCTGTTAGTACTTGTAGTTTGGAGTTGTATAAACTATTAGATGGTCTGATCTACGTTGTTGTAGTTCCGTGACTAGAGCCACACTTATATTATCTATGTTACGAGGTATTTCAGTTAGCTGTTTTATTGCAATTACATACAGGCGATGTTTTATTGATTGATTATTAAGCAAGTTGGTAATGTTAATGGCATCATAATTGAAAAGAAAAAGTAATTCCGTATTTTAATTAAGCGCAACTTAATACGATATTATGATAACATTACCGGATATATACGGGGTGTTACAAGGAGCAATTAAGTTTGAATGAGGACAACCTTAAAGCCATTCCTCCCATCTGCAATGAGCACGAAACTGCACATTATTCAAACCCTCAAGGTTGCAGCATATCAAGGTACTCGGAGGATGGAAGGGCAGTTGCCTATGAAAGAAGCTATAAAGGTTGCTGCATTGACATATAAATGTTAAAGACTTACACTCTGTATTGAAGATATCGTATCATGTATTTCCATTTTGTAGTAACTTCAAGACTTACACGATGTATTTCCATTAGGCTGTGATGTTAAAATTGTACTTATACAACAAAGGATACATTTCAATAAGATTGTTAATTCAAGTTACCATGATCTTTTCTTGCACTATTATGGAAGCTTGTGCAAATTCCGAACGAATGGCAGATATATAATTGTAACAGCCCTATGGTTCATGTGTTCCATATTATTTTTTTAATAAAAAGAGACCAGTACAAACCATTATATTGATTTCTTGTGAAGCTTTGTATAATATTATAAGATTCAATCCGTTTCTTGATTAGGCGAGTCTTTTGTATTTATTTATTCTCTATGTGGTTCATTCAACAATACTAACACAAATGACCAACAAAGTGGTGCAGAGAAAATGGTAAATAATTGTAACACGTGTCACTGCCCTCACCTTCTATTTCATTACCAACCATAATATGTACAATGCAGACATTACAATTAGTAGTGCCGTTGGGTCAATTGAATGTAATTTCAATAAGTTTTAAGAAAATAAAGGGTTATTTCTTTGGGGGTTATTTTGTAATTTTATTAAAAAAAATTATCATTATTTTATCTTCAATCAAACACATATTCAGGAATTTCACTGAATTTTACTGGTAAAATTTTGTCCAACCAAACAACATTTTTAAAAATTTCCTATATAACTCACTTTCCCTTCAAATCCCTAGTAATTATATTTTCCTAGTAAAACAAAAATTTCTCCTAAATCAAACCTCGCCTTAAATATTTTTAATCTCCATTTCAAGGAAACTCCGGTCTTAGAATCGTACAAGCAAGCAACTAGGAAATAACAATAATAGGCACGTGCGTGTAATGATCTCAAATTCTCAGCCAGAAAAAATGGAAAGTAATAATTAAATAAATAACATCCTCAAACTCAAAAAAAACAAAGACAATGGCTATCCGAGCAAGCGGCGAGTCCCATGAATTATCAAACCCGGTCCATCATGTTTTTCATATCTTACTCAATCTTTTGTGCCTGTAATTAACTCTACCTCGTTCCCTTCTCTCTCTCCAATGGCGGATACCTCTGCATTTTGCTTCTCTACATTGAGATTCTCTTGTGTTCCATCCATTTCTTTTTCTTTTTCAAGGGCTTCCCCTCTCTTCCAATTCAACTCTGTCCCTTTCTCACCTTCACCTTCTACCCCTCAAACTCGTCTTCTTCATTTCGTTCCCAAAGCCAATCACCCCGGCAACCCTTTCGGTGACGATTCTTTCGGTTTTTTCCCTTGGTCCGATGATGACAGCGGTACGCTCTTTTTTTTTTTTTTTTAATCTGAATTTCGAATTCTGTTTTTTTATTTTATTTTTTGGTTTCTGTTTTTCATGGTGCTATTCGTGCAACAGATGATATTGAAATTCGGGTTCCTTTATCGAATATGTGTACTCTTTATGAGAAAAATTTAGCTCAAAATCTGGCAATTAGTTTCTATTTGGTTGAAATGGTGGAAATGGGGCTTCTTTCGTTGCCCTTTCTTTCTTTTTAATGTTTGTATGTCTTTTAAATTCTGTTTATTGGCTTAAAATAACTTTCAGGTATCATGGCAATGCAGTTAAGGATTTACAGCTTTAATTAAGTTGGATTTGTTGAAGTAGAAGCCTGTAGAGGATTTTTATGTTTAGATTAGAGATTTTGTGAGTATGGATTCAATGCTTTTATAATTCAAAGCATATCCTATCTTCCTTGATCAACAGTTGAAATGATTTTATCTGTGTTCTGGAGCAAATATTGATTTGATTAATATGGATATTTAGAAATGATCTAAGCCTTCATGTATAGGAGATTTAGTCAGCTCTTACTGTTTTATCAAAAAAAAAAATATATATATATACACACACACACACACCCACACACACACACACATATATATATATATATATTCTGAGGTAATTTTGTTTTTGTTTGTGACTTCTTAGAAATTCAATGGCATCCCGAAGAGAGAATTACATTGTTCACTGCTGATGGACTGATCCAGATTGGAGGCTCCATGGTTCCTCGCCGTGTCAGCTCTTCAGATGTATGATTTTATCATACAATTTTTTCATATTGCTTCCAGTTTAAAAATTAACAATATAAACGTACAGGGGACCGTACTTGCGTCAGTGATCATTTCTTAGTTGGTTCTGTATGTGTATTTTTTGGTACATTGCAACACTTATCTTTTGTCAAGAGTCTACCATCCCAAAATGATGACTTATTAGGAGAAGATCCAAATATGATTTTCATTGATATCTTTAATGCATCTTTTCAAATTTCACACAAAGCCCTTTAGCGTTTAACCCAACAAAGAACATGTCCACCCAAAACCTATGTTGAAATTTTAATTCCATTAGAAGAAGGGGAAGACCACTATATTGAAGAGGCTTTGATACTATGTCAAGAAATCAACTACCTTAAAAAGCTTAAGATATTATAGATGAAGGTCTATGAACGTTTGTATAGCTCTATAAGTATTTCCAACACACTTCTCATCATGATAATAAGGTTTTCATTCTGTACTTGCTCCTTATGGTTTATGGCATGTTGTAACTTAGAGTTAGACTCTTTGCCATTTTACCCCTCATGTTAAAAAGTATCTTGGTCTTTCATGTAGATTACTTGGCATCCTAGAATCAGCTTTTAAGGGCCAAGACACAATATGCACTTTTTTTGGACCTTTCTCATTTTTGAGCCATGCTTCCTCTTGTTCACAATCCATTTCAATGTCAGATATTCTTTTAGATTGGCTAAGCAGGTATTTATGCTTCACAGAAGAAACAAGGGAAATTCAAAACTGCTCAAAAACTTCAACGGTTTCAAGAGAGTGATTACATGGACCCCAATCAAGGCCTTTGTCTGGGTGCTCTCTTTGATATTGCAGCAACTAATGTAAGTACTCATTCTTTTGACTAAACCTCCTCTATGAGCTATCCTCTTTGTCTGGGTGCCATTTTATAAATATGAAATGTCCTCTTTCTAGGGACTTGATATGGGCAGAAGACTTTGTATTTTTGGTTTCTGCCGTTCCATTGAGATGCTTAGTGATGTGGTGGAAGACACTGTCTTAGAGCATGGTGGGGAGGTAGGTCATACTACGTAGTACTCATTTTTCTTTTATCAACAAAACTACTGTGTTCTGGTTCTTACTATATGTTGAAGAAAGTTTAGTCGCAATTGCAAACCGTTGTTAAAATTTCATGAGATATTCTGCTTATTAAACTGCCTTGTCCATAGGATAATCTTTAAAGAGTAATGCTGCAGACACAAATCAAAAATTGGGGATAAAAAACTCTCACCTTTCATACCATGATTAGATTTACCACTAGGTCTTTGCAGGGTCGCATCAATACATAAAGCAGCCAACGGCTCTGCACACTGGTTGTCTTTTATTGTTTCTCCAACAAATTTTCTACCTAGCATGTCTGATCTTTAAATGTACCAGTTCTTTTCCGTTCAACTTTCAATTCTTAGTATATTGTTGAAGTGAAAGAATAAGTTACACGATTATTGAAGTTTGAATTGGAAAACTGATAGAACCCTTCCAAGTCCAAACAATTCAACTCACAATAACACAGAAATTGCGAAATAAATGCTGGAATCTTGTATTTCACTGACAGAAAATTACAAGATATGGTTCAGGCTTGAAAGAAACAGAATTAGAATGATGAAAGAGTCTACAATTACTTGTGAAACTGTAACGCAGAAAAGAGAAAATTACAGTAAAAAGATAGTGTAGTGCAATTAGAGAGGCTCTAAGTCCAAGCAATATCCAAGATGATTCTCATGCTCCCATCCATCCACTAGTTATATAGCTTTTCCCTCCATTTCTTCCTACCCGTTTTCTGTTTTAGTCACACCTAACAACTCATTTGCTGACTCATCCAAATTGATTTCCCTAAGTGCCCTTAAAGGTAGTATCGTATCAAACCATTCACTTACCAATGAACAATCATTAACTGGATTTAGACTAGTGGTTTATCAAAGAAAATTGTATTATGCCCATTTTACCTTGGTTCACTTACTTATATTAATAGTTAACTGAATTTCTTATGGGTAATGGCATATCTAAAAAATCCAAGAAGCTAGTTCGGTTGGATGGTACCAGCTATTAAAGGGGTCATGATTGGTGAAATACATAGACGTGGAAACATTCACTTAGCAATTTTTCCTTTTATGTGTCACAATAATTAGATTTTTTTCTGATATCATGTGTCAACTCAAATTCTCTGAACATTAGAGCCAATGTTATACGGCAGGTTATTGCCGCAGAGAAGGCAAGCAAAGGTGATTTGCATGAAAAGCTAACCATGACTGTTGCAGTGCCATTACTATGGGGTGTTCCTCCAGCTTCTGAGACGCTTCACCTAGCTGTTAAAAGTGGCGGAGGAATTGTAGAAAAGGTCTATTGGCAATGGGACTTTCTGTAAATACATATTGTACATCTCCTAACCATTCTTTGTGCAACTCTGTACATAAAATTGGAGCTTTGTATGTACAAAAAAAAAATAAATAAATATTGTCACTCTATCTCTTTACGTGTACAAAAAATTGTTGTCAAGTTAATATCCAATTTTCTGTTATTTCGATCACAAATAAACTGTTAGTTCTGGCATTCTCAACCTTGAAATTTGACGCTTAAATATGGTTTGAACTTATCTGCCCATAAGTGAAAAGTCAATTGGGTTTGAAGAGCATACAATACCAGGGTATAGTCAATAACCTATTCAAATGGATTAGGGAACTAGACGCACTGTTGGTTTATGATGTGAGATTTTGATTTTCTTTTTTCCGGTATTATTATAATATTTTTTGTGAAGGGGATTGATTATGCTTTTGCTTTGCGAGGTTAGTGTTTGCCTTTTTTTTTTTGGTAGATACATGGGGCATAGCCCCACAAAGAAAACAAAAGACAGAAAACCAGAAACTAGACCAACTAAAGAAGTAAACCAAAACAGAACAGGAAATAAAGTGAAGATTAAACAGACTTCAGCAGCATCTTGAAACTGAATAGACCAGTCCAGGATCAAGCAAATCCGCAGCAAGAAGATTGAGGAGCTCTCCATGAGGGGATGGAATTGTGGATCGACCAAAAGAATTCTCCAAAGCTTTCTTTGCAATCCAATCTGCACAACAATTGAGACTAACCAATCTCTATTAAGAACAACTCGAATCTTAGCCACCAAGGGAGGCTTTCGAGTTTCATTACCAGATTTGGTAAGAAAGCTTAAAGCTTGAACAGAATTTGATTCTACAATGATACTCTTCCAACCATAGCTCCAAGCAAATTCCAAACCATGGAATAAGGCCCAGAGTTCAGCTTGCAAAGAGGAACAGAAACTGATAAATGCAGAAAAACCACTTAACCAATCTCCATTCCAGTCTCTTAAGAGGCCACCACAAGCCGCTCCATCATTTGTTGCTGCATTGTCGACATTCGACTTAAGAAAACCTGGAGCTGGAACTGACCAAACCTGACTAGGAAGAACAGGAAGGTCTTTTGGAACAGGTTGCAGAATTCGTTTGCTTTTACATCAACTAATTTCGTCAATTAAAACAGCAAGCACACTAGAAGGATCAGTTGGACGATTTGCAGTCACATCATGCAGCTCTTTGTTTCTCCAAATCCACAAGTAATTGCAGGCTGTGAAGAAATAATCTCTCCAGTCTTTACCAAATTTAAGCTTCTGGTTCAAATTAATAAGAATCCATTCTTTAAAAGAGCTTGAACTCAGGAAGCCTATCAGCAATGGTTGGAGGAGAGGATTTAACCAAACATTCTTTGCTTTAGGACAGTCCCTAAAAGCATGAAGACAGGTCTCCACTTCATTAGGACACGAAAAACAGCTATTAGGTAAATCACCCCATCTGCTTATATATTCTTTGGTGAGCATCCTTTCATGGAGCATCTTCCACATTAGCAACTTGACCCTTTCTTTTCCTTTCCAGCTCCATATTCGATCCCAACTGCTATTGCTTAAGCTTTGTATAGGATAGGACAGATTCCTGTAGGCAGATTTAACAATGGACTGACCTGGTGACCTATTTTTCCAACTCAGCAAATCCTCACCTGCTTCCCCATCCGGAGAAGGAATGGCCAAAATCTAGTTCACTATGCACCCATCAAAATGATTAAGGAGGAACTGTATGTTCCATCCTTCTCCATCTAGGAAGGAGCTGGGATTTATCTTTAGAGTAGTAGCCTCATCTGTGGGGGAAACAATTGCAAGAGAAATTAGATCAGAATTGTGGCCTATCTAATTGTCCTTCCAGAATTCAATTTTCTTCCCATCTCCAATATGCCAAGAGATATTGCTTAGCATATCAGGCCAGATTTTACATAAGCTCTTCCACAAGTGAGAGTCATAAGCTTTGCTAGATACTTCCTTCAAAAGATTTTTGCTTCTGCCATATTTGCCAACTAACACTATAGCCTAAAGTTGATCCGGAGATTGGATTAAAGACCAGGCACACTTCTGCAAAAAAAGCTTCATTTTGCTTTCTTAGATCAATAATACCCAAGCCTCCTTGATTTTTTGGTTGCTTGAGCTTCTCCCAGCTGACCGCATGGTTCCTTCTCTGGATATCTGAGTCACCCCATATGAAGCTTCTTTGGAGTTTTTCAATATCATCACAAATGCCTTTCGGGAGGAGGCTATTCTGCATATTAAACATAGGGATGGCGGAGATAACGGATTTAGCTAGAGTAACTCTCCCTGCCATTGACAAACAGTTCTTTTTTCCAGCCTTGGAGCCTACCATTTACTCTATCCATAATATCCCCATAGTGCTGTTTATTTATTCTCCCATGCTTCATCTTATAACCCAAATATCTGCCAATATTCTTTGTATATGCAAAGCCATTTGTTTCCACAATAGCATTAGCAAGCTCAGGGGAAACATTCTTCGAGAAAAAAATATTAGATTTGAGATAACTAACCTTTTGACCTGACATATCTCCAAAAGTGGCAAGGCATTTCATGATGATTTTGATCTGGTCAATGCTAGCTTCACCAAAGAGCAGTAAGTCATCTGCGAAGAGCAGGTGAGAGATTGGAGGGCCACCTTTACCAGCTGACATAGGCTTCCATTCCTTTCTCTTCATTGAATCCACTATTAGATGGGACAACTTTTCCATACACAGAACAAAGATATACGGGGAAATAGGGTCCCCTTTTCTTAGGCCTCTGCTGGGGGATATTCTACCCGATTTAGCACCATTCCAGAGAATCTCTAATTCAGATGAAGAAATACACTGCATGATGAGGTTCACCAAATAATCTGGGAGGTTGATCTCGATTAACACTTTTTGTATGAAGCTCCAGGACATTCTATTATAGGATTTCTCAAGATTGAACTTTATAGTGAAGAAACCCCTCTTGCCTTTCATTCTGTTCATGGAGTGGACCATCTCCTGAGCAATGACAATATTATCCTGTATTTTCCTATTAGGGACAAAACTGACTTGTTGAGGGGAGATAAGTTTATTCAGAATTGGCTTCAATTTCCCTACTATGATTTTGCTTATTCCTTTATATAAAACTGAGCAGAGGGCTATGGGTCTAAATTGGGATATTTTGTCAGGTTTGGCCAGTTTAGGAATAAGCACTAGGAAAGTTTTGTTGAGATCCTTCACCTCAGTTGGATTCTTCCAAATCTGAGTGACACACTCCAACACTTGGTTTTTCATAAAATCCTAATTTTTCTAAAAGAAAAAGGCAGGAAATCCATCTGGACCAGGGGCGTTCAGACCACTCATGGAGAAAAAAGCTTCCTTTATCATAACCTCCAAAATAGGGTCATTAAACAACTTCATTTTTGTTTCTTCCAAAGCAGGCCAGCTGGCTCTAGTAATGACCCAAGGTCTATTGTGAATCTCCTCTGTAAACAGGTTTTTGAAAAACTTGATAATAAGCTTTTTCAGATTCTCCTCTTCTCTCACAGGGTGACCCTCATCATTTTTCAATTCAAGAATTTTGTTCCTAGCTCTCCTGATGATGGTAGTGGTATGGTAAAATCTAGTATTTCGATCACCATCAGCTAACCAATTACACCTCGCTTTCTGGAACCAAAGAGCTTCTTCTTGATCCATAACCCGGTTCATTTCTCCCTGAAGGGCCCTATCTAACTCAGACTGAACCTGATCCTGCATACTGTTGGTGTTCAGTTAAGTTTCTTGAAGCCTTTTTAGAAGATAATCTTTTCTAACCTGAATGCACCCAAAGACCCTTTTAAAGATTTCAAAGGATTAACCAGAGCTGACAAACTCTGATTAATATTGGTCCGAGGATTCCACATAAATCTAAGAAAGTGGGGAAAAGATGAGTGCTCTTGCCAAGCTGCTAGGAACCTGAAAGGCCTCTCCTTCCAAGACATCCTATTTGGGATTAGTGAGAGAAGGAGTGGATTGTGGTCAGAATTGAGCCGAGGTAAGGATCTCACACTAGCTTCTTCATAAGCAACTCTCCAGTCTGCATTTACACAAATTCTGTCAAGCCTTTTGAAAACCCTATCCAAATGCATCCACTTAGGGCCCTCCAAGTAAAATTCAAACCTCTACATCCTAGGTCTATGATGTTATAATCATTTAAGAATGACGAGAATTTCTGACATCTCGCAAGGTTGACAGGGGCACCACCTTTTTTCTCACAAACCGAAGCTATTTCATTGAAATCACCCATCAAAGCCCAAGGACCGACTACATTATCACTGATTCTCTTGATATTTATCCACAGATCCTCTCTAACTTCCTCTCTAGGATTAGCATAAACCACAGTTAGAAGGAAAGAACTCCCTGTGTTGACATAACAAGACATGTGAATAAATTGACTATTTTTCTCAATGATAGTAATTTTGAAAGAATCTTCCTTCCACAGAATCCAGATTCCTCCAGAGAATCCAACAGCATCTTCTATGGCAAACTGATTGAACCCAAGTTGCTTTATTTTTTTTGGGCAATAACTCCACTGATTCTAGGTTCTAGGATTGCTACCAAGCCAATCCTATATTTCCTTATGAAATTACTAAGGGATGGCTTAAAGGATTTCTTAGCAGCACCCCTGCAATTCCAAACAAGGCAATTCATTGGATAACTGAATCAGGTCCAGAGTTGCAAAGCCCCTGGTCACTTTTTGTCATATGCACTGCATCTGAGCATATATTATCCTTCTCCATATCCATTCCATCAATACTTTCACGATCAGGAGGCTCATCTGGTTTTAATTGGTCTTCGCTACTGGCCTTTGAGACCATCATATCCGAAAGCTGACTCTCCTCAACACACATCTCACAAGTAGCTACTGGGACAACCCTGCCACTTAGATTAGTTGCAGCAATCTTAGAACAAAGATCCTTATCTTCCTCTAAAGGCTTTGTACTGACACCAGAACGGGCAGCTGAGACAGAGGGGTGTTGTCTTTGTTGAACCTATTTTTTCAGTTTACTAGATGAAGGGAGCTCTAGGGGGGTAGAGCTTTTTCCCACTGAAATGGGATCAGAGGCAAAGATAAAAGTGTTTAAATTCTGTAGAGCCTTAGGTTTATAGTTGGGCTTTCCACTTGCCTTTTTTAGATTTAAAGGAGTTTTCCTCGCCTATGTGGAGGAATTGACCTGGGGGGAACTACCCACTTTATTCTCTTTACTCACAAAGCTCTTTGCTCCTACAATAGCTTTAGGAGTAGGGCTCTTCATAGCTGATGGCTTGCTACTATTCTCTGTCTCTTTTTTATACTGGTTATGTTGGTTTTTGTTGGAGATATCAACTCCAAAAGATCTTTCTTCCTTTCCTTCGAATCTTTTAGGTTGTTGGCTCTTTGGGAATTTCTTCCTCTGGACCACCATCCAGGGTCCCACTCCATGATTCGCAGGTGAAGTCTCTTTTTCTATGACCGGTTCATGAGCTTTGTTGTTCTCTGTAGGTTTCACAAAATCTGGGCATTTTTCAGAATTATGCCCATACATGCCGCATTGGAGACAAATCATATAGAGACCTTCATATTCTACCTTAAAGATATCATCCTCCAGAATATATTCCCCCCTCAAAGGTCTAGCTAGATCCAGTTCAACACAAACTCTAGCATACTTCCCTCTATCCCCTAATGAGGTAGTTTTGTCAATCTTCAACACTTTACCAATTGAATTTCCAATTAACTTCAGAACAGAGACAACACAATACTCAAGAGGAATACTTGATAGACGAATCCAGGCTGCTACTCGATGGACAGCTGCTGTGTGAGGATTAAAGAAAGGTTCCCATTTTCTTAAGGCCAGGTAATGTCCCATGAGAATCCAAGGTCCCCCTGATAAGGCCAAATTAAGGTCCTCCAAGCTCGCAAACTTCACAGAGAAAAACTCATTTCCCAAATCGGCTACTGTTATAGAGCCTGATTTCTCCCATAATCTCTCAAGCTTTTTCTTCATGTACATCACTCCAACTTTCTTTCCCAAAAGTTTCACGATAATAGCATTTCTCCATGGATGTTGCAGCCTCTGTTTTGCTTCTCTAGAACACCTGAACCGAACTGATCCATCTGCACCGTAGATAGTCTGAAACCCCAATTCGTTAATAACTCCTAGCTTGGGATCCAAAGGCTCGCTGTTTTCTTCCTCAGTCTCTTCCTGCCAGGCATCATCCTCTCCCATCGAATTTCCTTCTGCTCGGAGAGCTTCCGCGAAAGACTTGGGTTTCCCTGACGGAATTCACTCCATTATGCTTCCTAAGCTCGCTCCTATGTTCGAAGAGTCTGAGAAGAATTCCTCCCCGTTCTTTGACCTTTTGACACTCTTTCGCATACAATCCTTTGTTTCGACTTCAGAAATTAGTGAATCTTTATTGCTGCCATTTAAGACGCTCATCTTGCCCTAACAGAGAAGAAAGTTCGCACGCGCGTGTGTCACATGCAAACCTAACCCATTTTAGTGTTTGCCTTTTACTTTGCTAGTCTTTCATTATGTGGAAGATTCAAATTTTTGTTAGGTCAGAGGGATGGAATTCCATGGAACGCCGTGCAAAACTGATTTTTGGGATTATGTCAATTGATTCCCAATGGGATTCAAGTTTGACAGAAGTGGTGCCGCATATTACATTGCTTTTTCTGCAGCTAAAGTTGACTTTGGATATGGAGAAATAAATCCGTATAATTAATTTCAGTATGATTTTTTTTTTTAAATCATAAGATTGTTTGTAAATTAATTTATAAAATAGAGAAAAATAAAACAGTTATTGCATTTTGCCAATTATTTATTCATTTGACAGTTGTACCGAATAATATAGTTGATATTTTGTTGTATAAGATTATCATATCTCATGGATTTGCACTGGAAAGAAATTATTTTAGTGTGGCTAGCATTTTTATTTAAAATGTCATTTTATTTTATGATAATTAAATAAATAAAAAAGTAAACACTCTTTTTAGTCCCTGACAATATCTACGAAATTCTTTTTAGTCCCTGGCAATAAAAAAGGACCAAATTGGTCCCTAGCAGTATGTAAAAAGGGCCACGTTAGTGACGGAGGAGTTGACATAAGGACTAACGTGACCCTTTTTTCATAATTTTAGGGACCAATTTGGTCCTTTTTTATTGCCAGGGACTAAAAAAGATTTCGTAGATATTGCCAGGGACCAAAAATGGTGTTTACTCTAAATAAAAAATTTAGTCTTATTTTTACAAGTCATTTTTCTTAACAATTATTTTCATAGCTAAAGTATAACCATGTTTTGTTCAATCTAACTCAAATAATCCCAAAAGACTTCTTATATATATATATATATATATATATATATATATATATATATATATATATATATATATATATATATATATATAAATAAGGGTAAAGTGTGTGTCGTTTCAAAGGATGTAAAATTGTGTCATTTTAAGAGAGAGAAAAAGATAGATAAAGGAAGAGAGAGAGTTGACAAAAAAAATAAAAGGTGTAGGTTCCACCTCTTTGTGAGAGTGAAAGGATATAAATTGTGTCATTTAAAAGGATAAATATTTTTTTCCTATATATATATATATATGTGTGTGTGTGTGTATGGAATTAACATTTCTTTTTTCACAGGAAATCACCCCAAAACAACATTTTTTTGAGGGTAAAGGTAAAAAATAAAGGATATTTTAATAAAATTCATGATACAAAGAGAAATATTAAAATTTTAAAATATCCTTGAATTTTAATCCCAAATCCCAATATGATGTCGTTTTGGGATTACAGGATATAAATTTATATTCTGTAACAGGCAAAACACACACACACACATATATATATAAAGAGAAAAGTGTGTCCTTTTAGTGTGTTTACATTATATTTTAGTGGTAAAACATAGTATTAATACGAAAAGTTACTTTTTTTTCTGTCTCTTCAATCACATCAGCTGACGTGTAAAGTAAAAAATAAATTGTAAGTAAGACATAGTGTAAGACACTAAATGGACACAAGTTGTATCCTTTAAAAGAACATCCACTGCACCCATATATTAAATAGGGGAATAAATGAGAATCAATGATTAAAATTAGTAGCTGGACCTCCAGCCACTTGAGAAATATTTTTACATATATGGACTTATTATTTTTCAAATCACTTGAGATAAATTTATTTGCGGCCACTAAATCATAACCGTACAAAGATGGATTAATGATGATAAAGAAAGAAAGAAAAAAGGGAATCATAACCATTTAAAGGTAAATTAATTAATATAAAAAATAAATAAATAAAATGACATAATTTTAGAATAACCGAAGATATATCTCAAGTGACTTGATAAATATTTTTAAGAATTGAAATGTTAAAATTTTAAAATGGATTAATGATGAGAAATATATTTTTCTCATATGCGATATTTTTAAGAATTGAATTTTTTACCTTGGGTTCAAATCGTTACGTTTAACTACTCTCGGATATCCATTACATACAGAAAGACTTCTTTCAGTTAGCTTTTGGACGCCTCATTGCGCCAGTCACTCTGTAATTGAAGCTTCCCATAGATTACGCACTTCAAATAATTCGTACACTAATTAAAGTGTTTTGTACACATTCGGAACTTCAGAAAGTATAATTCATAGTTTTTTTTTTTTTTTTTTTATAAATCACAATTATTTTTTACGAGAGACCATCGCATTCGTTCATATCATAGAATTAGCTCTTCCAAAAAGAATTTTTACATTCACAAATTATTGAATCCAAAATCTTATTTAAACAAAATTAAATATTTACTACTTGAACCAATTCCTTTTGTTCATAATTCATAGTTATATATGTCTCTTGTGTTCATGTGGCGTTATCATATTGTTTCTTGAGTTTCTGTTCGGCGGCAAGACCAAGTATTCTTTTGATTATCTTTCTTTTGACTTTTGGTATCTACTTGTATCATAATCATTAATATTTGTATCCACATAGTTTTCTTCCATGTTTATGCGGAATGCTAATAGTGAGGAATACAATTATTGACCGACAGAAATATCAAATCATCGTGGAGGACTTTCATGAAAACCAATTTTTTGTATGACCTAGTAGGACCCAATACATTGGAACATTTTCTGATTGGCCAACTCTGTATTCGAAACAAATATAGAAACAACTAGTTCTTTGAAGACTTCTTTCTTCGTGCACACAGAAATATGAAAACTGGAAAGAAAGAAAAACGTGTGTACTTTAAAAAGATACATACTTACATCGGCGGGCATATTTGTTGCAAACATGTGCAAGTCTGCATATAAATTTGGTCAAATATTTTTTTAATAAAAAAGAGATATATATTTTAAGGAAAAAAGATGTGTCGTTTTAAATGACATATCTTATATCCTTTCACTCTCACAAAGAGATAAGACTTACATTTTTAAAACTTTTTTCACTCATTCTCTCTTCCATGATTTATCTCTTTCTCTCACTTAAAATGACACAACTTTGTGTTCTTTAAAATGATACACATTTTTTTCATATTTTAATTAATTAGGAATGTCACTCAAGGAGCAATTTTAGTGACTGCATTGCTAGAAATACAAGCACAGATACCAAGAAAGAAACACATCTTATTTACTGCTTATGTTTTAGTGATTTTATATCATTAAGTTAATTACTATTTTTTTATGTTAAGTCGAATTTAATTTTTTTGAGGATTATATCCCTTGTATTATATGAACGAAATTTTTGTCATATTAAAAAAAAAGACAAGTTATATAATATTAAAGAAAATGAGATGACACATTATTCAATTAATTGGTCTTGTCTTTTTCTTAACATGTCAAAAAATTTGGTTCATGTAACATGAGGGATATAAATTCCTTTTTGTTTATATTCTTTTATTTTTAATGCATCTAAAATTTTGTGTATAATTTTTTTTTTCGAAGATACTATCCCCAAACTCCCTCCACTAAATATTTGGACTAATATGCGCACATAAATAAAATTTTCTGGATTCGCTACTGCATACTTAGGTCATTTTTAAAAAAAAAGAATAAACATTAGAAAATGAGACCTACATCTTTTATTTTATTTTTTAATGGAACTCACATTTTTTTATATCTTCCTCTCTTTTAAAATAACTTAAGTATGTGTCTTTTAAAAAAACACATACTTTTCCCTTTTGAAAAACTAATTCTTATTAAAGAATGATCTCAGTCATATGGGATTTATTTTTTTTTAGGGTAAATAGTGCCTTTTTGACCTTTATATACTCAGTAGACACTATATTTGTAGAAAACAAAAACTCGAAAACTTTTCCCCTTTGTGATAAGAAATTGATATGCTATTATGATGTCTATTATATGATGCCTATAGCTGGCATATCTAATATCTTGTTGGCCTAAACTCGAAGGGAAGCAAACAAAAGGACGAAGAGGTCAATGCGTATTTGGCTTCAACTTTTGTAAAGGCTGTTTTTTTTTTTGGAAAATTAAACTAATTGATTTTTTATTCTAAACAAAATTAGTACAATCAACCAACCAATGACACATCCAAGACATCATTATCTAAAGATCATGTATTTTTTGGAACCATTTGGGCTATCTTTTCATCAGTTGCATCATGTAATGCATGCTTTAATTAAATATTTATCTTTTAAATCTCTGCTTTCCTCGTTGGATTTGTTTATAGTTAACTCACTTTCAGATCATTATTTATGGACCATATTGCTTGCAATTCCTAACCGGAGTATTTTTAAAAATTATTCAAATGAATATGATGTTATGTCTGACATTGATAATCAAACCATTAAAAAAAGAATGAGAAACTTCGTGGTAATATGGTGCATACTTGTAGCTATGGGTGAAATTGGGCCGGATCGGTCTGGAGGAGCCTTCGACTCGGCTTACGTTAGGTCAGACTTGAACTAGTATATTTCATAAATTAGGTCGGGCTTGAGCCTTGAAAAAGCTTGTTTAATAAATAGGCCGTAGACTCACTTTCACAAGGTTTTGCCTATAAGCCTACAGGCCGGCCTATATTGTACTATTTATTTTAAATAGAATAAGTATGCCTTGAAGAAAAATAAAAGATATAAATTAATCAATTACAATTATTTATAACTCAATTATATTCAATTATATTTTAATAGAAATCTGACTTTATTTATTATGTAGGAGGAATCAATATCTCAACATGTTATATTATGTATATGAATATATTAAAAGGTTTTTGGAAGATGTTATACTTACTACAAACATCATGAACATCATGATGTGTTTGTTGGATTCATGTAGTTATTTTAATTTACATAATATGAATTTGTTTGTTGGATCTGATGAAATATATGTTATTTAGTTTAAGCATTTTGCTTTTGAAAGTGACTTAAATGCAGATTGTGATGAGTTTTGTCGTGATTCATGATTCTGTTTGGACGTTGAAATTATGATTTTTGGTTTAGCAATAGAATTTAAGTATTTTGTGAAGTCATGATTATGCATAAAAGTTAAAAATTAACAGGCTAACGGGTTAGACCAGACCATTTGTTTTTTTTTATAAACGGGTTAAGCCGGGCTAATAGTTAGACTCGTAGTAGACTTGAGCCAAACTAAATTAAATTTTCTTGGCACAGGCTTAAATTTTTTAGGACAAAGCTTAGCCTAACCCAGCCCACTTTTACCTCGACTTGTAGCCCAATTCAATTATGAAGTTCTATGAATATAAAGCTTGTTTTTCTCGTAGACATGCCACGAGCTTCCAGATTGGTCACGCCCCAATTATAAGATTCCATAAATCACCATCATCATTTTATGAGCAAGTTTCACGTGACTGCGACATCGCCAAATGAACTGTTAAATGATGGGTTTAGATTTATTTCTTTCCCTTAATAGGGTGAAGTGTCTCAATTTAACAATACTTTTAGATATAATGGTACGGACCAAAGTTTTAGGAAAGAGTCATGGTGAATATCTCAGACGAATGCTGAAAGAGAGGATGATGAAAAAGGGCACGTTAGCTCTAAAATTTGACAAAGTAACAACTTATAAAATGATAGATTCAATATATTTATTCAATGGCTATGGCTGAAGATGGAGTATTTATAAGGAGTTATAAGTTGTGTAGAATGGAGAAAGAACCTGATTTTGATTCTTACTAAATATATCTTTGAAAAGGAGCGTGAAGATTTAAGCCCAACTTATGATTAGTCTCGTAATTGGTTCAAAAAATTGAAACTTATGGAGATACTCAGGAAACTGATTCGCCTCAAAAAAATAATTAAAGTTTATACACACAACAAAAAAAAGATGAAGTATTTATAGGTGTCAAATATTTTCTAATCATGAAAAAGAGTCATAATCGTTTTGCTCAATGAGTCCCCTCTATTATGCGTGAAGTAAGCATATGTTCATAATGTGTATTGAGTAGAAAGCGAGAGACTCTCTATTATAGAAGTGGGTAAAGTGTCTGTCATTTTAAAGGATGTAAAGTTGTGTCATTTTAAATGAGAGAAAAAAAGATAAATAAAGGAGGAGAGAGTGGACAAAAAAAAAGTGTGGGTCTCACCTCTTTGTGAAAGTGAAAGGATATAAGTTGTGTCATTTAAAAGGATAAATATTTTTTTCTATAGTAATATAAAAATCATACTTTACAAAAGTATGATAACCTCTTAAATGGGTTTTAGTGGCCGACCCCTATTACGGAGCGGGTGTAACCGGTCTAGAATACTTCTGATTTTTTTTTTCTTTTATTGTCTTGTTAGGTCAGTGATAATTCATAATTAGCTCAGTTCTTGCATAACTTGATTTCCAAAACAGCCCAAAGGGTGTTTATCATCATCCACTTTATGTTATTTTCTATAATTCTGCTCCTGTTTGTTTTGCGTTAGCTATCTTGTTCTCCTTACATATGAAGGACTTTGGATTGAACAAGAGTTATGAAAAAAGTTTACAGAAAGAGAAATAAAATACAATACAGTAACCAATGATGGGAAACAAAGGTGCATGATTTCTATTTTGTGTTCTATATCAGATTACTTGATGAAGTTGAACTAAAACTATATTTTAATGTTTTAATATTTGAATTTTCAATTCAATCACATTAAATGCGTCTAAATTTCTTCCTTTACTTTTTGGTGAGATCAAGAAATATCCATATATCCTTTAAATATAAGAATAATCATCATAAATATATATACGAACCCAGTACTAGTGAAAATTAAGAGCTAACGAATCCATAGTCTGACAGTATTAATTAATTGATTTGAGATTTGTATGAAAGAAATGAATATGTATACGATCTAATAGGAAAAAAAAGAAGAAGATGATATCCAATCTTTTAAAGTTTTGGGTTGAAGTGGTTCTTAACATAATATCAAAGTTTTCTTGACCACAAGGTCATTGACCCTCATCGTCCCTCACTAAAAATAAAAATTGGACCTATGTAATATCTACCCTTCAAGTCTAAGTGACTTTGTATGAGGAAGTATGTTAGAGAATAATATAAATCATTAAAAAATTATCATCTAACATCTTAAGATTTTGGGTTGAAGTAATTTTTAACGGACTACACTAAAACTATGACCGTAAAGAAAAATTAAAGGTGGTTTTATAGGTGCATGATTGGAAACAAAATTGATAAATAATATTAAATAATAGCAGTAGATTGCTGCTGCAACCATCTTGTTACATTTGATGGATGAAGGATTAAGGGGGAATTATACTCTTTATAGGGCTTCTTTCTTTCCTTTCTGATTTGGACACATCTATGGTTCAAATGGTGGGGGTTAAATATTCCTGCACCAAGTAAATGTACAAAGGAAACTTCCAACATGTACTGTAAACAAAGAAAGTGGATCCATGAAACACCACCTTTTCCCACAAAAACACAAACTAAGTCCAAATCTGAATCTTCTAGTTCTTCCCATCCCCTTTGCTTACCCTTTCAAATATTCTTGATTTTGACCACATTCAGCATCAGTATAGTGCATGACCCTTTCCTCTGTCTTGTCATCAAACAAAAAGTTGTTGCAACTACTATTGCTTACTAGCTGTTTAATTTCTTCTAGACCATAATCTAATGGATTTTCTCCCCATAATCTACTTTTTTCCTCTGTCCACCCACTAACCCTACCAGCATTGGATAGCATAAACTTTTGAGTATCTTCCACCCCACTGTAGAGGTAATTAAGCTCACCTATGTGATCAACAAAAGTTCCATCTCCACCATATCCAAGTTCTTGTGCTTGAAAAATGGAATTAGCGGAGGTAGAAAAATTACCACTCAAAAGACTTGAAGAGTATGAAATGGACTCTGAGCCTGTGAAAGACACATGGGGGTGGTAGTAAGAGTTGTGGCTATCTCTGAATGATATTGGTGAAGATGATGAAGAGGATGAAGAGGGTGTTGAATTTTGAAGGATGGATGAAAAGGTAACTTGGTGAGGTTTCTTCAGTGCTGAAAGATTCATTCCCATCATTTTTTTCTTAAGCTTGGTGTTCCAGTAGTTCTTGATATCATTGTCAGTCCTGCCTGGTAACTGAGATGCTATTATTGACCATCTGCACTTTGTCACAATGAGTTCCAAAATTAGTAACATGATTGAGTAATACTGCAATATAGCAGATCTAAATTGGCCTCTCATGCAGTGATAAAAAGCATATAAAAGTACACATATCATATCTATTAATTTTAATAATATGATTCCCAAAATGTGAAAGTAAACTCTTTCTTCAATTAGAATTTATATGATCTCCATAATTTGTGGAAGCATCTGAAATATATCTATGATTGGAAATTTAAGAGAAATAAAGAATACCTGCTTCCAATACTAGCAAAGAGACTGCAGATTATTCTATCTTCATCTATGGAAAACTCTCCATGCTTGATGTTGGGTCTGAGATAATTAAGCCATCTGAGTCTACAGCTTTTCCCACATCTTTTCAAACCTGCATTAGACAAATTAACAGATCCTATCAGGAGCACAAGAAAAAAGAAGAACCTCTAAACAGGTAAGATCCCTCCATGTCAACATGCTCTCATCAAATTGAAGAGAGTAATATGACTCATTTCTTCCAAACTTCACAGTTCACATACTACCACAATTAACTTCTGAATAAGGAGGACAAAAAAGAAAAGAAAAGAAAAAGGTAGAAAGAAACACTTACCAGCTTTTTGTGGGAGGGAAATCCAGTTCCCTGCAGTCCCATGTTTCTCCATGTACTCCTTTAGCTTTGCATCTTCTTCAGGACTCCATGGTCCTCTCTTTACATTTGCCTTATCACAACAAGGAGCTCTTCCCATCTCTTCTCTTTCTTTCTCCCTTGAAACACACACCACACTCTCTTAGATTTCTGCTATGAGACTATTAAGTTCTCTTAATATAGGTTTGGTCTTTTGATGGATGAAAACCCTGAGGAAGCACAAAGGGTCCTCAAGAATGGATCACTGATTGATTGTCTTATAGCCTTTTGTAAATTTTCAAGAAACACAACCAGACAAAACTTGGGAGGGTGGACACCAACAAATTCTGATTCAGACAGAAGAAAAATATAGCAGAAGTCAAAGGGGGAACAGCTTCTATATATAGCTTCAATTGCTTATCACTATTAGTTTCTAAACTCATATAATTGATTAGCTCAATTACAGATGTTTCCCTCCCAATATATACTATATAGTGCCCTTGTTCAAGGGGAAGTTCAGCTTGGTCGCTGTTATAACAATTTATTATGTATGCAAAGTCTGCTCCCTATTTTATAACATATATAGAATACTTCATCGAAAATGGTGATCTATTGCCAGTTTGCTACACATTTTTCAAACGATGGGCCATGTCTTGAAAAAACAATTGTCATCTTGGAGGTCCAATTATTGTGCTTCCAACTCAATTATATAGTTAATCCGGATAAGACTGATTTGAGTAATTATGGATTATTTATCTAGTCAATAATCGCTTAGTGTAGATAAATTCAATTCCTATATTCGGATAAACAGTAGTAATAATAAAGAGAAGGATTAAGTTTGTAAGATTTGCGTACATTACATATTGGTCATTGGTCTCACTTGTTTCTAACCGTTTTAATTTATTATTCATTACATACAAATATATATGATCAAAGACTAATAATAATTATAAAATTTATTAGATTTCCTCTCCTCATAATATTAGTATTGTATTAATATTAGTATAATTTAGCTATTTTAGATGCAACTTGCTGGTTAGCTCAGTTGGTTCAAGAGTTCTGAATAAAATTTTGCACTCTCTTTTCATGTGAAAAAAAATCTTTGAATAAGTATCCTAAAACTAATCTTTTAGATTAACTATTGATTCATTTGATTGTCCTTCGTGATCTCATGTCATCAGTAGTATTGGAGTCATTTATTATTAATACATTTTTTTTATTGATCGCACATGATGCATTTTTGTAAAATCGAAAATCACAATAAAGTACTACTACTTTTATGTTTTAGGTATAAAATATGAGTTAATTAAGTTATATCACTATTTTTAATAAATAACATTATATTTTGTTACTTGTATCATCATCTTGCCTATTAAAAAACTTTGATAACATTTGTGTTTGAAATTGATAATAATTCAATTTTGTGATCTTATAAGAAATACTCTTGCAGACAAGACAAAAATGTGACCATTTACCATTTAATTGTCTACTACTAAAATTTATTGTAACTCTTTCATTCACAGTCTTAGTCGAAGGTAGGGGTATTGACGGGTCGAGCCGAGCTGAGCTTTGATCTTAAAAAGCTAAGCTTGTCTTTAATGTGTCAGCTTGTTACCTGTTATGAATATAATTATTGGCCTGCGGCCTGACTTAATTACAAAAAGTAAAAAATCTGGTTTAGCCTGTTTAAAAGAAATAAGACAACATAAATTTATTCAAACAAAATATACAATCAACAACATAATAATTCCATAAATATTCATAAATTCAATGTATATCCAAATACCATAATATAGAACAAAATCATTCAAAAAATTTGTTTAACCAATAAAATGGGTGAAATTGATTGAGGAGAGAGAGGTCTATTACAAGTAGTATAAAAAAAAAAAATAAAAAAAAAAATTAATATACTAGGCTAGCCTGAAAGGCTCTAACGCGGACCTTTTGAATTGGAGCCTGATGCCTTTTATTAAACGAGCTTTTATACAAGTCCAAGTCTGGTTTCTACAACTAATTTTAAACATGTAAGCTTAGGCCTTCATGAGCCGAGCCAAATGCCCCTGATTCGTTTATCACCCCTAGTCGAAGGTACTTAAACCACCCTTCTCTCTTTAATGATGATATATGGTAAATCTTAATTAGAGAATTAATTTAAGGATTCAAATGTCATAATTAGATTTAGAATGTGATTTCGAGTATTTTGACTGTAATCATGACTATGTCATGAACAGTGCCTTCTGTCGGATGTTCTGCATTGTTGTGAATCAATCGGCAGAGATTAGAAATGAGCAAAATGAGTTTAGAAACCTAATTTGGCAATTCTAATGCCAAATACGAGTTCATAACGAAAAATTGTATAGTCTGGCACTTTCCGTGAAAATCTCGTGAAAAGTATTTCTGCCAGGAATTTTGTACCGCTGTTTAAGCAACCAGTATAATCCAGAACTAAATAATTGATGTAATAAGAATAAGAAAGTCCAATATATGCCAAGCAAGTCATGTTTAGACCAAAATTGTTAATTTTATAAATTTTACAGCTTTGTGTGTAAACAGTGCACAACAGGTGATTCACAGTGCATTTCGTCAAAAACGGTACATAAACCCTACTGTGAATTGTTAATACTGTTCCTTGAGAAATGAAAATCAGTGTAAATGAGTTCAGAAAAATAAAAATATATTCGTAGCTTTAAGTTAGTGCCGAGTTAATTTAAGTGAAAGTTAGTGAGAGAAAAACAATCGTTAAAAGACTGCAGGTCCATATAAACTTAAGTTGAGTACTATTCATTATCATTTTCACTATTCTATCTCTTCTTCCACTCCAAAACCCGCGACAGCCGTGGATGAGGGGGGGTTAGGGTTGCTTTCTCTCTCCTCTCTTTCTCAGTTATCTAGCCACCGAAACACTAAGTGCCATACTTGAAAATTTAAGTAGAGATCATTGTGAATCCATCCCACTACTTTGTTTAGGCTGAAAGGGCTTGTGTGAAGAGTTCTCTCCTTCTCAAATTTTGGGTCACTATTTATCCTAGAGAGATTGTGTTTTTGGGTGGAACCAAGCTTTGATTTTGTTCTCCAGGCCTTGTATAGGTGATTTGAGGTAAGAAATCCTCATTCTAATGGTTTGAATATCATGATTTAAGTTTTGAATATTATGAGCACTTTTTGGTGGGAAATTATTGAGTTTGAAATTTAAAATTGATGATGAATTAATGTTGTTACTAAAGTTATAATGTGAAATAAGCATGAACATGTTTTTGAAAATTGAAAAATTCCATTGCACCTCCCTTCCCTAGGTTCGGCCATGATAGGTTATTTAGGGTTTGGTGTGCAAAAATTTAATTGCATGATTTGTGAAGGTTGGTATATTAGTGTATGTTGGGGATTAAGTCTGAAAGTGAGAATACAAAAGAGGAACATCCCTTGGAAACCTCCTTGTAGATTTCGGCCATTATGGTCCAAATGGGGGGATGATTGAGTAAACTTTGTTTTGATGATGTGTTGAAGTTCCAATGCATGGAATTGGCTTCCTATATGAGTACCCCTCGACCCTATGAAGGAAGAATGAGAAAAAGTTGTGATAAAATTGTTATATGAATATATAAGTAACCTAGGGGCCAAGTACGGGTGCTAGGAACCATTGGTTGTGTAGAGTAAATTGATGCAACTCTCTAACTTTTCCCTTGGTCTTGGATTCGGCCTTGTGGGAGTCTGTGAGGCTAGGAATTGTTAAAAATTATAAATGGTATTTTATAAGCTTGGTTGGGTCATTCTAAGACCCTATGTAAGTGTGAAACCATGTGGTTGCTTGTGGTGCAAGTAATCATCCTTACATGGTCTAACAAAAGAGTTTAAGAAATTATGGTCTTGATTTGTGAATTGGCATATGATTAACATCAGTGTAAAGAAATGAAAGTAAACAATAAAGTGCATGTCTTGTGAAATTACATGGCATTGTATCATTTTATTGAGTTTTATTTTGAATTACTTCTCTAGGTGTGCCTAGGGACTGAGAGCCTTTGGATTCCTTTGGAGCTAGATAAGTAACTTATGCTACAAGTAAGCAAATTGATAAAGCTCCAAGAGGTAAGCTCTATGTTTAAGGAGTCTATTTCTACTTGTGTGCTCCACCATGGTTAGTGGACTATGGTTGGATTGTATGATTGTATTTGATGCTTTGTATAGATGCATTCATATAGAGCTATATGATAATATGATATGTTTTGTTCTGATGTGATTTCTATAATGATCTTTGGCCATTGATTCTATGTGCACTGACTTCTATTTGGGGTCCTCCCTTGCGACTGACTGTGTATACCTCTGATACATGTTTGGTTCCGCTCGAAGTCCTCCCTTGGGAACACGTGCATTGATTTTTGCTTGGGGTTCTCCTTTGAGAATGACTGTGTACGCCTCTGATAAGATATGTATATATGTTTTGTTCAGTTATATATCTGTTATATGATGCCTTGTATACTCTGTATCTTACTTTTATGCAGGAGTGAGCCCAGGGTATGGAGAATTCTCTATAAACCTGGAGCTTATTGACATTTGTTATCGCATCCCGTTTGGGGACATCATTTCAAGTGTTCAGATTCCTGGTGAGCCCTCATGAGGCAGAGACACGACTCGTGGCTAGAGGGGTTGCGACAAATCGGATTTTGAGTAGCTGTAGGCTACTGATATTTTGTATTGTATTTATGTTGCTTTAGTATTTTACTATTTTGGGATCATGATGTCTGATCCATTACTTGTATATGGCCTGTATATGTCTTGTACATGTTTTCAGTTTTGATGCATGTACAATTGTGTATTCAGGCATGTCTATATTATGATGTAGTATTCAGTTATATGTCTACATGTTGGTTATGCATGTTGTTAGACAAAGTGGCATGGAGCCAAGTTATGTTTGAGCCCATGGATGGGTATGTGATGGATATCTGGTATTTCTGTAATCATAGATTGTATAAATTATTTATCAGGACACCTTGAGAGTGAGATTCGTAAATCCCCATTTGTTCGATTTTCAGCCGTTACTCTGTCCGATTTTCGTTTCTGTCAAATGAAAAGTAAACTAGAAGAAGTATGCTATACTATATATCATGTGAATAGGATAAAAGAAAAATATAAAGTTAGCTCGTATTTTCGTAAGTTAAGTCTTCTGCTGATTCTGTTTAGTATCATATGTGTCTTAACTGAACCGGCTCGAGACGGGGATGTTACACTCTCCAACCCCTCCTATTAAATAAGTAGTATCCCTAACTTAATACGTAATAAAATAATTAAAGTCCATCCATAATCAATTTTATATGAACATGTATCGTAATTTATATTAGACAATTAATTAATTGTAATATTATGATTTATTATTATATAAATCTATATTTAAAATCATAAATGGGGGACGCTGTTGCTCGGGTATAAGTTTTA